TGTGACAGACTGATAAACTATAAAGTAGGCTGAGAATTTCATGCATGGAAGCAAGTATATGAGAAATTTAATGATGAGGACACGTGTAGCTCGTGGAGGAGTCGAAGCATTGAGCATCGGACGGTTGAGATCTGTTATTTCTATTTATAATTTAATTTAGATAATTGAATTCAAGTGTTGATATTGTACGATCCCGTTACGGAACTATTCTGTCAGTTGATCTAACAGTTACAAATTCTGACAGAATAGTTCCGTAATGAGAACTTAGCATTTTCCTTTATTTATGTTTCTAATATTTGGTATCATTTGTTAAATAAAATAATAATAATAATAATAATAATAGAGTGGGCAAACTAATTTCCATTGAATTGTATAAAACTTTATATGTGAAATGTTTATTTATTATATGGAGTCATTCATGGTCATGAATCAATGTATTGAGGTGTGTTAATATAACATTTTTTTTTTAATAATTGTGAATGACTTTATAAATCGTGTCACTGACTTCACGGCTAAATTGTACTACATAGTATTCTACTAGTTCATGTACATCCAATCTATAATTAAAGTATAAACACTATGGATAATTAAAACTAGCATAAGGTCTTCCAAATTCGTTTTGGGTAATTCTCATTCTGTTTGCATTTTTTACAATATTCAAATTTCTAATTACGTCTTTCCATAATTGTGTAATAACACGACTTTCCAGAAACTCTGCTCAATCTTCTTCGTATCTCCCACTAATTGTTATTTTTCTTATAATTGTGTTACTAATTTCTTAAAATATAAGCATCATATACAATCAACTTGAAAGTAATTACAATATGACCTTTTTTAGCTTTATGATTATGGGAAAGAATTATATATCGGATTTTGCTTTTAGGAAGCTATTTATTTGCATAGCTAAGCAGAGATGTGGAACTTCCTCTATATGTAAATGTATTATTTGTATATCAAAATTGTGATGCTGCATAATTCTATATATTAATATATTGTGTTGGATTTTTTTTTATGTAGTGTTGGACTTCCATCCACAATAATTAAAAGTTCTGAAATTATAAAACACTTGACTAACTTAATTATAAATATATTTTTAAGGGTTAATAGTTTTTTCATTTTTGTATTTGGTATCGGTTATTTATGCACGATATATCGAATTAATCATCTCTTGACAAAACTTTGATTTGACATTATATTAAGTACAAAATAATTTTATTTGTATTTATTGTAAAATTTGTAATCTATTAATACTAATTAATAATTAATAAATTTATACATCAATTAAAAATATATCTGTAAATTCATTAGAAATGAATGACAAAAATTATTATAAAATAAGACGGGTTGTTTTGTACAAGTGAAAAATATTATTTAAATATAAATAACAATTTAATTTTATTATAAATATTTACAATTCAAATAAAAAACTTCTCCTATTCATATCTTTATAATTCTAGTATAATTATTAAGTAGCACCATCTAGTGTTGTAATTGAATAGTTAAATTGAAGTTTGTTTCTTTTTTTTTTACCATTACTAATGTAGCTACTTATTCTTTAATTTCCTTACTTAGACTATGCCTACTCTGCATTACTTGCTTTTTACCCATGATTTTGGGCATATAATTATATAGATTCAAATTTAATAATTACAATATATTGGTGATGGAGAGAAGATGTTTCTTTCAACTTGAATGCTCAAAATCAGAACTATCTTTAAGCAACCAGTTTGTTGCAAGTTATAGCTTTTAGTAAAGTTGTTTTAGCTTTGCAATCTTGGTGTATCTTTTGTTATCAATTTTAGATCAATACCAATTCCATTTTTCACTCTATTATTGCTACATATTTGGGACTTGGAGGAGGACAATTGTTTACAACTGGATTAATAATACACTTTGTCTCTTATATGTATGAATTTCAAGTATTGATTTGCTAGGATGAAGGATATAGTTTAGCTTGGTTGCTTTGTGTGAAAGAGAAAAATAATGAAATCCTTGGGCACATTTTGCCATAACCAATGATGATATCAATTTGAGTGATCAAAGCCTACTTTAAATCATCCTTTGTGGGCTTATATTCCATGATGTTATAAAACATCACAAATTCAAATAAATAAATGAAAATAAGATATAATTTATATTGCAAAATTGTATGGATGCAAGATGAAGTTTATGCCATGCTAAATTAAGATCTCTATGCCTTGGAAGGCTACATCCTCAAGTGTATGAATATAATTTTATCAAGCAACAGTGTTGAACTGCCTAACAGCTAGACAACTACATTTTCTTACCAAAAGTGCATATTTATAATATAAAATGTCATATTCATACTTATATTGTATTTTAAAATATGATATTTTGAACATAAAAGTACGTAGCATATTGAAAAAATATGACTGCTTAAGAGCATTTTCAATGGGCTATTTCGAAATCATAAAAAATCATCCACATAATCAATTTCGAAACTATGTTATTAATTTATTTTTCGTGGAAAGCAATAACATTGATAATGTTGAATCCTCAATTCACTTTCTAATATCAAACGTTGTATTTAATTAACACGATGACTCATCAATTCACTTTATTTCTAGTTAAACTTTTTATTCCTGTTCTCGAACATTTGTTGTCGATATGTCAAATCATTGTGTGAATTGATGAAGATGAAGCAGAGGTTTGCAGTTGTTGCACACTCGCAGGCTAATGGTCCAGTAGAGGTTGCCAACAAAATCATTATGCAATGGTTAAAGAAGAGGCTCGAGAGGTCCTCGGCCGCGTGAGTTGATGAGCTCGTTTCCGTACTATGGTCCTATAGGACAACCCCATAGAGCTCGACCAGGGAAACACCATTTAGCTTGATTTGTAGGTTGGAGGTTGCTATAGCACTCGAGGTGGGAAATAAGTCCCTTAGGGTCGGTAGGTATGATGAGAGCGTCAATAATTAACTTGAGAAATAAGCTCTGGAAACCATAGACAAACGACGTAAAACTGCGGCACTAAGGATCGCTTTATACAAACAGTGAATGAAGGCGACCTATGACAAGAAAATGAGAATGAGAGAATTCCAAGTCGGAGACATAGTGTGGCAAAGATCGGATGCATTAAAAAGGGTCGACAAGATGGAGCCAATGTGGGGAGGACCCTTCAAGATTTTGAAAAGTTCTCAAGGGTGAAGCATGTGAGCTCGAAGATAGATACGAAAAAGATGTTACCTACTGATGTAGGGAAGCGTACGAATGGGAAAGGATAAAACGAGTAAACGAGATACTCTCTCGTAAAGCTCACAAAACTCAATCAATTCTTATTATCAAATTCACCATTGAATAACAAAGAAGAGATGTCTTTAAATAAGACGCCCAACCCTAAAACCTATCTTGTCCACCAAGTCACTAAATATAAAAAATGTTAAATGCTAATAATAATAATAATAATAATAATAATAATAATAATAATAATAATAATAATAATAATAATAATAATAATAATAATAATAATAATAATAATAATAATAATATTCTACACCACCTAGGTTGTGGAACGTTATTCACTTTAAGAAGTCCTACGAATAGAAATAGTCTGGAGGATTCTTTTGGGTATGTTGTATATATTTTTCGTGAAGTACTTATTCGGGTGAATATCATGTAATTCTGGGCGTTTTACTGAATGATTGTCTCGATGTGAAAGTACTTGCTTTGATGACTATATGTGTTTCTTTTTGCCATCATGATGTGTATCTAGGGACCGCTACCTCGATCAGAAGTTTCAAGGCTTGATCAAGACGCGCATCTATTCAAAATACTGCCAGCTCAATCATATGCTCTAAGGCTAGATCGAGTGGCACGACAATTTGCAGGACCGCTACCCCAATCAGAGGCTTTTAGGCTATATCGG